ATGCATCTGGACGGCTATCACTTATGAGCATCTGGTTGCGAATCAACCGAATGTATCACTCACCGGTGCAATTGTAGTACTTGTTGAGCATGAGCAAATCATAGAAGGAAATGAAAGGAGATCCCAGAGTTTCTCCGTACCGTGCATCCGGAGTAGGTACCATAGTAGGTTTTTCGTTGCGGGTAGCACTAAGAATCATGCTTTGTCTAACGTCTGGAACCAGCTCCGCGTGAAATTTCTACCTTGTTGTTCCGTAGTGCATAATGCTTCCGTAGTCATACGTTAAATCGTAATTATTATTGGTGTCCGGAGTTTCCAGTAAGAATTGGTCAAGCCAGTCAGGCTAAATTAATAGTAGTGTTCCAATTCTTCTGTGACATTCACACAATCTTACCTTAATATTTTCTTTGTCTACTGTGATATACTTGTCACGATCATGTCTTGAATGCGTGTGGAAGAAACCAAGTGGCATGACCAATCTCGTGAGCAGCTGTTGCCGACCTGGAAGAGAACACAGAAACAAAATGAAAACACAGCTGGGTGTTATAGTCTGGTTCTGTTTCCTGAATGAACTGCGATACTGCGCGTTAGCTAGTCAAGTCCATACCGATTCACAGCCTGAGCCGAGTGACAGGTCCTGTTTGCCGCCTAGTCTACCAACGTAGGACCAACATCCATCCTCTTCGATCACACGAATGCTGTCTTTTTCTAAAAAACACCATCTTCTGACTAATTCGCTTTGTTCTCAGTCATCTGAACCTTACCAGATTCCTTTTCGGTAAAGTTAATGCATGTGTCGGCCATCCACTGACCTGCCGCTTTTCTGAATACACTTTTAACCTCATTACCTGAACGAATGAATGGGGAAAGTTGCTTTCTCTATTCTGCGCCCATGAGCAGGAAGAATGTGCGTGTAACTGACTTATGCCCTTATCGAAGAAGTAGTGAACCCCCTTTGACCATCTTTTGCCAGGATAAGTTTTGTCGTTGTACGCTTGCCGCTTGGAACGTGTACCACTAACGTCCGCAGCAACTTGGTCCTGTTGCTCTCTGAATACAACGTAATTTTCTATAGGCAATGGTAGAAAAATAATCAGAAGAACAAACTTGGAAAGAACCATATCTCCCTGGAACAAAGCACTGGCTATTTGGCTTCTAATGTTGATCTCTTCAATGGAGTCTCCCGCTTGTGAAACCACATCAGTTGTTTTCCTTTTGAACAACTGAAATGTCTTTCATGTTCATACCATGGACGGAAGTGCTGATGTCACTAACCTTCAATCTTTCCTTGAGCTCCTTTCTTTGCGCTTCAGTCAAGGTGAGCTTTTTTAGAATCTTTTCTTTAAACCCACTCAACTTCTTGCGGAACTCGAGCATGTTGGTGTTGAATACCTTGTAATACTCATAGTTAGTTAGTGACCGGATTCCATACGACCTCTTCAAAAAGCACTATACCTGTTTGATGCGGTCCATAGTCTTCTTCACTTTTTCTTTGATAAGGATTTTAAGGCTCCCGGGCTTGAGGTCGATCAAGCCAGCGCTGACGCACATAGCCACAAGTAGAGCGAGTATGAGAATCCTCATCCTGCAATGTAGAACTGGAAGACGTTCAATGAAAACAAGCTCATTAGAGATGAAACGGTTGCTGGAAGATGTGACAGCTTACTCCTCCACGAGTTTATATGCGCCGCCTTGGAACGAAGTTGACATAACGGGAAGGTGTTCAAATGTCAAGATATATTGGAAAGATGGAAAAAAATATCATTTCAGCTGCTTTCCTTGCTCACATTACATCCCACTCACATACCCGTAGATTGTGTCTCAGATATCGATCAAACATGACTGATACTTGACGGAATAATCGTTAAAATAGTACAGCATGCATGAAGTGGCACCAATGTTGTCGAATTGCTGCAGAATAGCAGTAGTTCCGAACTTTACAGAGATACCTGATGCTGCGTTGGCTGGAGCTTTAATGATTCCTAAAGACGTTCTATTCTGCTTTTTGATAAAGCTCGTCGACTAAACAAAGGTGCTATTCACACTTGAGTGACTGCCTCCAAATGAGGTGGATTTCTGTATTGAGCTCGCGCGTACTTGAAAGCACACAAAGTTCACATACTGTTGTGAAATGGCTTCAAATTTCAATTTTACTGCAACCTAGGTTGCATGGTGCAACATTGCCATTAGTGCTCCGATGGCCCATTTCGAGTAGTCGTTTTAGTTTCACCACTGTATCTTCTACAACCCTTCCATTATAAACGAAACGAAGCGATTCCTTCGCATGCCAATCCGCTTGCGAGTAGGAGTAATGTTTCAACGATGCACTCTTGGTGTGTCCGATAACATTGAACATCCATCCTGCTTCATTCTCACGTGGGCCAATAGTCACAGCGCGCTGACAAAAAACATTGTCAAACATAAGTGTTTGCGCATATGATTGGTTACGAACGAGTGCTCATTTGGCAATTTTGGGCGTTGTTTTTATATCGCACAGTAAGGGGACGACGGGTGAAGCTCACAGCGTCGACAGAGCCCGTTTTCGGATGCCGCATGCATTGCATCAGAAACCCCTAACGGCATTTTGAACGTGGAATGACCTACATAGTCATTTGCAGGACCATACGCAACTCACAAGGAAGGTCATTCAGTTCGTGGCGCACTTTTTAGAAATGGTTGTTGCATGTTGTAGGGGTCCATATAAAGGATCACAAAAATGGGTTTCGTTTTTGCTATGTGTATACGGGAACGCTAAAAAACGAGTAGAACATATGGCAAGAAAAGGCGATTTCAATCCTCTGTTGGGCTCTGTTCTAGCTGTAACATTGAGTATAATAGTGAGGTGTTCCTTTGCATCGAAAGACAGTAAGAAAAAAACTAAAAAGTAAGTACGTCTCATGCCTGGATCGAAGATACTTCAATGATTCCTGCTCTCCAGCTCCTTGAAGGTTTCGTGACATCTTGAACTTTTGCTCATGGTCCCATTGCGAAACCAAGGGACGCAGATAGATAGAAGACTAGCGCGTTTCAAGG